ACTCCAAAAAATTTATGTGGGCGGATGTGTGATGGGCCACAGCGCCCCTACTGCTTGAGATAGGCATGTCCCCCCCCAGCCTGACAGCGACGCGTCCGTGAAGACTGACACGTGTGACATGGGTCTGCTGACGGGGGCTCCCTCCGACAGAACCAGGGTGTTTCCCCAGTGTCGGAGTTCTGCTCTCACGGAGGGAGGAACAGTGATCATCCGTCTCTTTTGTTTTTCTGGATCCACACGCAGACGCGCAAACCACCTCTGGAGGCGTCTCATGTGTAATAAACCCAGCGGGACAACTGTGTGAGCTGATGACATCATTCCTAACAGCTTCATGATGGAAAACAGCTGTTACCACTCTGCCAGGTCTTACGTGACGGAGCTGGTCTTTTAAAGTGTTGATTCTATTTTGTGATAAACGAGCCCTCATGGTGGTTGAGTTAGCTCCACTCCCAGATAAACAATTGTCTGGGCCAGGAAAATTGAGCTTTTCTTCCAATTTATGGTGAAGCCCAGATTTAACAGGTGTGATGTCAACACCTGAGCCTGCATCACTACTTCCTGTTTGGAGCGTGACAGTAGCAGGTCGTCCAGGTAAAACAAAACTCTCATCCCTGCTCTGTGTAACGGATGCAGGGCTGTCTCCACACACTTTGAGAACGTACGAGGCGCAAGAGGATAACCGAACAGCAGCCTGTTATACTGATACTTCATCCCTTGAAAGGAGAAACGCAGGAATTTTCTGTGTTTTGGGATGATCGGTATGTGAAAATAAGCATCTTTCAGGTCGACGGAAAACAAACCAGTCGTTTCTCTGGATGTTGTCCCACAGCTGTCTGGTGGTCAACATGTGAAACGGTTTGTCCATGCTCACCTTGTTGAAAGCTGACAGATCCAAAATCGGTCTCATCCCTCCGATTCGTTTGGGAACCAGGAAGTTACGTGAGTAAAACCCTGTGTTTTTCTCTCCGTTGGGAACTCTGGAGATTACTTCTTTTATCAGAAGCTCTTGGACTTCTGCATTTAGGGATGAGATTTGGTCTGGTGATGACAGGACATCTCTAAAATTCCTCAGAACGGAGGAGGTCGAGTTGCAAATTGCAACGTGTAACCTTTGCATAACACCCTGGCCATCCATCTGTCTGGCGAGCATGTTTTTAGCCACTCCGCGTAACATCGTGGAGTGGACGTGCGTTTAAATGATGCAACATGTTTTGTACGAATGTCATCCAGTCCGCCGCCTCGACCGCCGTCATGTGTCGCGGGAATGTTTTCCGTGTGACCCAAGGCGAGGCTTCCTCGAAAGGGCTCTGAACGCGCCCGTGTGCTGCGTTCGGACCGCGGACCAACCTTCATGTCTAGGTGGGCCGGTGTGTGCTGAGGCGAAGGGTGGCAGCTGATGACGCCGTGGGGCTGCGCGTTTCACGCCACTGTGGTGAAAACGCGTGTCGCTCCTGCCGCGTCCTGCGCTGGGTTCGCTTTGAGATCTCGCATCTATGCCGCCATGAGCGGGCGAGCGCTGCGAAGCTGTGAGTGCGACTTCATCTACGCCGTGCCATTTGAGTGAAGACTGTGAGCTCCACGGGAGCACACGTTTTCTCTGGTGGGACGCGTGCCGCTCTCGCTGGAAGCGAGACTCGTCACTGGGTTCGCTCAGCTGTCTCACGCTTATGCTGCCGTGGGTGGTCAAGTGCTGAGATGCGGTGGATGAAGGCTGCCTGCGCTGCGGCAGCATGCGTTTGCTTCGATGCGGCGTGTGTCGCTCACACTGAGAGCGTGGTCCTCCACCGACCCAACCTGCGGTCCCACATTTATGCCGATGTGGGCCGATGAACGCCGGGGAGCTGTCTGTGCACCATCATCAATGCAACGCCGTTTGGGTGAAGGCTGTTTGCATCGCGTGAGTGCGTGTTTGACACCGCTTGGGTGAGGATCGTGCAGCTCGGATTGACAACAAGTTATTTCGCTTACCATTGTGAGGTGTGAGCATCTCGTCATGTCTTTGAGCAACGGTGAGTTTAAAAAAACCCTTATTAAAGACGCCGTCTCGTTATGTGTGGAGGTTGTGTGCGCAGCCGCTGTGAGTCCATCCGAGCTTACAGACTGGCTAGAAACAGACACTTGATCATTGAATGATGTTTTATTCAACATTTGTGTCATATTTACACACACCCTCTGCAGACCATCATTCTGAATCTTTTCCCCCATGAGCTCTGGGATCCGTTGGCCCAGGGCGCCGTCTGCTGGGGGTCTCTGGGAAAAACGTTTGACACTATGTTGCCGGAATGAAGAGGGCCGGATGGGCTGAAGCTCAGCGAGACGGCCGTAGAACCGTCTTGCCACCGGCTCATTTCGTGTGGAGGGTGTGAGAGAGAGCCACTGTCAGATCATCTGAGCTGACAAACTGGCTAAAAATGGACACTTTCATCATAAAATTATGTTTTACTCCAAACTCGTGTCACCTATACACATTCTCTGCCACATCCGTCAATTGCTCTACCATTTGTTTTCCTAGAGCGCCATCTGTTGGCGGTCTCAGGGAAATACTGAAAAACTCCGTCCTCCGGCTGCGATGCGGGCCGGCAGACAGCAAAGAGGCGCACCGGTTGGGGGTGACGTCAGCTGCTCTGCAGACGGAGCGTTGTCTCCTCCCACCTCTGAACATGTACTCCAACAGCGTAACGTGTTGTTTGCTGCGGCCGTCTGGAACGCATGCTGGTGAGCTCAGTCGAAGATCGGTGTCACCGTCTGGATTACGCTAACCGGAGGCGCGGGACGCTAGTCCACCTGGACATCTTGCTCCGATGAAGCCTCCGTCAGGCTCGACTCCAGGGGGCACTGAGGGAAAAACCGCTCGGTGAAACCCCCTCTGCTCTGGTGATGGGCGCGGGCTGTGGGAGCCAGGCCCCCAATCTACCAGGAAAACCGGCTGTGGCCTCGTCCCGTAGGACGCCCTGTTGGAAAAAATGAGGCCAGATGTGGTCAGGACGGTGAGCCGGAAAAGGAACCTAGAAAAAGAACCTTCCCGCCGGATCATCTGAACTGGCGGGAAAAGGCGCGGGACGTAAAAAAGGTCCCTTCATGTCAGCCACTCCTGGGTTACGCGGGCAACCCCAGAGGGTGCCGTCGGCCGGGAGCGGTGTGATCGCCGATGCGAAACGAGGTGGGATGAGGTGAGCATTCGCTCAGCCCCCCTCCACTGACACTACGCTCTCCAGGAGGGAATGAGCCGCGGGGGGCCTCTGCTGACGCTGCCTGTCCCAGAGGAACCATCTGATTCGCTCCGGGGGTTGGCGATAAGAGGAAAATTACAAGATGGCGTTGTCCAGCGTGTAGCGACCTGTCACTGAGAAATACTCCTCGGCGCTTACCTTGAAATAAGACTGCTCGTCAGCTTCTCCTCGGGGAGGAGAGCTCACCGGGACGACCGGAGGTCGACGTGACGGGCCAATCATTCTTAACAAAGGTTGGCCATCTACACAACTTCCCTCTTCGTTCTTCTGACAGTGCTATTAGCTCGCTGAAGAAAAATGGGAGACGATTTCCCGCTCTTAACGTAATTTATACGGACCGGATGGGGCCCACACAGCAGGTGGGCGTGGACTAAATTTTTTCAGTGTAATGCTTTCGCATAACGGGATAACCCATCAGCGACAGCCTTAAAGGGCGAAGCTTATACGAAATAGAACATGATCTATTTCTGAAAAAGAAATCCAGTTTAACTTTCAGTTTTCTTACTAAGTTTTCCACGTGGAGCTTAAAAGAGAGATGCGAATCGGCCAAGATACCCAAATATTTATAGGAATCTACAAACTCAATAGGGACACCATTCGAGAATAAAATCAAAGGAAGAACTGCTGAGTCCGACTTCCTGTTTGAAAACAGCATCCCTTTGGTTTTGTCGGTGTTTAGGACAAGTTTGAGATGGAACAAATCTGACTGGATGATGTGAAAAGCGGATTGCAAAAGCTAGAAAACCTTAGCAACTGTTTTAGCTCAACAATAAACAACTGTATCATCAGCATAAAAATGTAAGGATGCATCAGGGATGGTCTGACCTACATTACCTATGTAGATTGTAAAGAGGGTGGGTCCTAAGACTGAGCCTTGTGGTACACCGTTGTTGACTGATAAATAACTGGAGGAAGTACCATTATGTTGAACACATATAGTTAAAAATATGTTGCTCATTGAAAAAAAAGTGTGTTGACTTTCTACCAAATAAAATAATGAGATTTTGTACAACCACAAAGCTTATCAGAATATTTGTCACACAAGGACAGCAGGCTTTGTGAATGCAGGAGAGTTGTATCAGTGAGGACAGTTCGACCTGAGGACTGTGATGAGACACACAAGACAACGCTGCTGTACAAAGTAAAGACATGCCACCAAGTCTTGTTTCCCTAAACAGTCAAGTGTTGTGACAACTGCTGTCATAAGTAATCATAAATAAATATGTAAACTTTTCTGCCCTGTCCACACTACTATGGATATTTGCTGCTCCACTCTTTTTTTTTTTTTTTTTGGGTCAGATTTTATTTTGAAATATTTCCAAAGTGGAATGGTTCTATTTCTGGTGTATCCAGGTAAACTTTAAATATGGAAATGGTCACATTTAGCTCACTATTACTTTGTCCCCTACAGACCAAACAAGTATGGAACTATTTTTAAATTTTACTTTTATTTTCTGAATCTGTCTCGCTTTCCCTGATCCTGTTGCAGATTAACTTTGACTGTGTGCTGAAATTATTGAGAGGAAATAGTAAATAAAATCAAATAAAAGTAATAATTTGGGACAAATTTTAGCAAAGTTGTATGTGGGACAATTTTAACTGTGTGATAAAATTTTATTAAAAAGACGATTCAGTGTCCATCATCCTCATCAGATGTCTGATTATATGTTATCCTCTTGTTATTTTTACTTCTAAGCATTGCCAAATGATTAATCTTGTTTATGATGTGTTTTCAGTTATTATAGATGATCTATCTGAACATTTTAACAGGTGCACTAAAATGGGACCCAACAACAAGGCTCTGAAACACAAACTGTCACATGACACAGAAAGGGAGTTTGGAGGAACTCTGGGTAAGACACACAGTAACCACGCAGGAGCAGAACCACAGTTTACAGTGACAGTACCATGAACCTTTCACCACAACACAAAACAGGTTTTGTCTTGTCCTTTTCTCCATTTCACTGTCCATATCTACCAGTAGCTACAGCGTTACATTCTGTTTCTCTAGTGCCAAGTCCTGCTTCTCTGTTCAAACTTAGAGGCAGGAGAATCTTCCTCATGATCTTACTAAACAGATGATGATTTTACAAAGCAGCAGACTAGGAGTTAGTAATATTAAATGGATCATTTACAATGTTCCTTTGATGACACATAAAGACTCTATTAAAAAGTTTTTTTGGTTGAAAAACTATCACAGATCAGCTTTTATCCTTTGAAGCTTGTTTGCTTGATAACAAAACAGCTAATGTAATAAAATTAAACAGGATATTGGAGGTTGGCGTGCAGTAAAGACTATTACTTCAGACCACGAGTGTTGTAGGTGTGAGACATAATGCGTATGTACATCACCACCTTTGTGTGTTTGAGCAAACTAACAATTATTTATATGAGCATCAGTCGATTACTCTTATTTCTTTCTTTATTCACTTTTCAGGTGCCGTATGCATTCCCATTTTTCTTCCGTTGACCGTGCTGTTCCTTATCTGCGTGAGTCAATCTCCTGAGGCCAGTGTGCTGCAGTGGCCCCCTCAGCTTCCCTCCACAAATCAGCTCTGGGATCCTCTGGCCCCTGTGGTTCTGTTGGGATGGATTGGACTCCATGCCCTGCTTTATTTGATGCCATTTGGAAAGGTACAAAAAGCCTGATGTAACTTCATCAGTTGTATATGTAGTGCTTTCAGAGTCAACGGTAAAATATTGCATTATTTTGGGGTACTGGGGGATTGTGTAAGAAATTTCACCAACACAGTTTCTGGCCATTGTGTATCTTCTTTCAGTAAGTGTGATCATAAGAAGAAAAGAAAAAAAAAATAAGAGCACTAGTGTTTACAAACTGCACCTGTAGATGAACAGATGCTGGGATATATTCATCATTTAACGCGAGTTCCTCATTTTTCTGGACTGAATAAAACGTGCACTGAATTTAAGGAAATGCAAACGGGAGACGTCATTTAAATTTGACCCATCAAAATGAATGCGGTCATTTATTTACAGAATCAAATTTAACATCAAACATTTACATTAATTTGGCAAATTATGAAAATAACAACAAAGCAATCAATCAGGAAAAATCATACGGCCATGATTTCTCCGTTGCTGCACCAACAGACATTTATAACTGTACAACTATGATCTTTTACCCACATGAATGTGGGTAAGCACTTTACACAGACATTTCTAAATATCTGGGAGAATTTCTACTTGATAGAAAAGTTTAAGATGAAAGATGAAGTTTAAAGGGGAGAAAGATGGTGTTTGAGGTAGAGTGTTGAACAGAACGGCACTCTCCGGGCTTTCTTCAGCTTTTCCTCACAGTACACTTAGGTGGTGAAAACGACTCTTTTACCTGGAGATGTCTCAGGCGAGATTCCGTTTAACGCACCCTTTCAGCGTCTCCGTAGGATGCTGTTACTCGTCCGGAGTAGCGGCGAGATTCTGTCCGCCACAGCTCACCTCAGTGGAAATGTTATAATCCCATGAAACTCGGAAGAGCTTCGTTGTCATGTCAGGAACTCCAACAGCACTCCATCAGAACTTTAGCTCTCGTGTAGTTTACAGAACTCCCACAGAACTCTTGAAGTCTGACAACTCTCCAACTCTGTAACTCCGTGAGTCTCTGTGAGTCTGTGAGTACCTGTGAGTCCGTGAGCATACCTGTGAGTCTGTGTAAACCAGGAAGTACTGACATTTTAAAGACTCTTTCCCGGTTCACTTTTTGGGATTTTTCATTGGTCAGAAACGACCAGAAGGGGTGTGTTTTTGTGACGTAAGGGGTTAGAGACAGCGAGAATTGTTATGAGACAGCTCAGAAATGTTCTCACAGACCGAGAGGGTTCTGTTTTGGCGTGCCTAAGACACAGGTGCAAAACATCTCTATTTACGTCTGAGAGGATTCTAAAACATGACAGTTTTAACATAACAACTTGTTTTTCGTTTGACTGTAACCTTGTAAACGCACACACTTGCTCATTCAAAAGCAGAAATCAGAAAAATGCATAAACTCTGCACAGCTTTTAACATGAGAATAAAATCATTACTCAGTTAATAAAATTGATTAGTTCACTGCAACATCTAAAATGGTTTGAACTAAGACACTTTGATTATCAACATTTGTAAGATAGTAATGATAATAAAAAGAGAGTGTTCTTTTCACTTGAATCTTCAAGAAAGAAAGTCTCAGGATGGGTGAACCTGTATTTATGGAGTCGAATACATGAAATGACAGCTTCTGTCCCACAAGGTTCTAAAGGTCAAGAGTTTTGACCTTAGACTGGGTTTCGACGTAGGCTTAGTCCACTACACACCTTAAGGGGATATATTGGACATTTTGAAGTGGAGTCCTGTGGAAAAGTTATCATCAGTCATTATCTTACCTGTTGTAGTTAGCATTCTGAATTGTCATTTTGGTGGAGTGGTTTATTTTCTGAATGGATTGATGAGCTAACAGCTAGTTCAAACACAGCCAAGACTAAAGGAGTAAGACCTTTGGTAGTTCTTTTTGGAATGCATCACAGGTTTGTTAGCACTCCAGTTTGTAGCCTTTGTGGAACCTTTGTGTTCCAAGGAACTAGAGTTTAAACCAACTTTCAAAACAGCACATGGATCAGGCTGGTTCTCTTTCGTAGGTTTAGCTTTGTAGAACAATCTGGTTGCCAATTCTCATAACCTGAGTATTGGCATCTTTAGGTTCACAAGTATACTCAACTGGCTACTGATTGTGGGATGGAGGTTCTGGATAAACACTGTTTTAAAGTACAGGTGCTCCTCAATAGGCCTGTTGTGATAAACAATAAAGCAATTAATTGCATAATAATGAAAATTATCAACCTCATTTTCATTTATCGGCTTTATCATATGTTTGTGTCTCTCTCATTCTACTGAAGACACTGGATGACAAAAGGCTCAACTCTAGTGCTCTTCACTGACCCCTCCCTTTCTCTTTTAAAATCTGTTTTAATTGTCCAAAATAGCGTATTTGGATCGTTAAAAACAGCTAAGCTGAGAAGCTAAGCTGAGAAGCTAAGCTAACAGGCTGACCTCCAGGGGAAAAAAACCTCCGTCTTGTCGAAGCTCCAAAAATTTACGGTTGAAACCCGTGTCTTTGTGTAAAAAGTTGATTTTCTCTGCAAAAGGAAGCTGAGGATTTGTTTACTGAATTTTGTATTAAAAGCTTTGTGTGAAAAATGATATGCTAAAGAGCTCAAACCACACCGAGCGTCCGCCATTTTGAGAACCGAAAAAAAAGGAACAAGAGACAACCCATGTCACGTCAAGGGGCCTCCCTCCCATTATTATTAGAGACACATTGCTCGCTCACTCACTATCCATCCTTCAGTTCTGACAACCTTATACTGCCATCTGGTGGTTGAAAATAAGGCACTACATACAAAACAAATTAACAACCAGTTCTTCTTAAATTTGACTAATTACTAGTTACTGTCAAATTTCAAACAATATTATAATTTATCGCAATAATTTCTGAGACAATTAATCGCCCAGCAAAATTTGTAATCGTGACAGGCTTACTTCTCAATCCCCGGTTCATCACGCAGCCCATAAAATGCACGAAGGAGGTGATGGTAATACAAGTGTGGAGCCTCATACTTCTCCTGTCTCACATTCATTGCGGTAGCTGGGCTGGATTGACTTGAATGGCTCTCGTACTCCATCATCGCTGACTGAGGAGAGAGGAGTCCTCTTTAACCACGTCAGGCAGACGTTTAAGAAACCGCTTGAAATGTCGGTCAGACACGATGTAGATCAGGTAGAGTTTATCACTGTCTGTCATGCCTGGAGACTTTTTGAGATGAACCTCTATTTCTTAGAGGTACATATCAATGCTGTCAGCTCCTCCAGTCAATGGTTCAAAACATTGAACGTTTTTTTTGCTATTTTACGTAGATCATTGCATGTAAGTTTGCTTCTGCATTTTCATTTAGTCCTGAGGCGGCGTCTGAGTCGATGGCAGAGTCGTACTCCAAGTCTATGACTGCAGATCTGCTGTGCCTTCTAGAATCAGCCCTCTGGAAGCATGGACGTCTAGTAGATTTCTTGTAACCTTGTTTTTTTATTGTGGTTCACGCTAACACTATTTTATAAACCTTTACACCACTGTCACTTTTGTATTAGTCTGTTATTTACATATTTTTCAACAGAAGACGACACAAGTCTATTACCAGTACTGATCACGCAGTGCAGAAAGTGTTGTGTTCTCAGTCAGACCGACTATTAGGTGGAAAAGTAAAGCGGTATAACAATCAGTCAAATCATGTTTTCATATCTTTAAGTGGTGGTTGTAAGAGGTTTACATTAAATTACTGAAGTTTAATTCTTTTCACTTTATTTATCCCCAAGAGGTTATTTGAAGGCATGATAAGTAACTATGCACGAATGAAGGTATGCATGACAACAAGAGTTATCACTATAGAGACTTTATCAGTGACCCTGCACAAAACCTGGTTCAGGTTTTTTTCTGTAGCCTCAGATAGCTTCTCTGCCATATTTGATGTTTATTTTAATTGCAGTGGTTTTTGGTAACAAACAGTAGAGCAATATGGTCCTCAGTGATAACCATAGAAGTCTATGTAAAAAAACTGTAATGCAAAGTCATGCAGTGTAAAAGTTTATAGTGTTTGTATGACTGGCTGTAAAAGTTTTGAGGTACAGTTCTTTTAGGATGATTGTAATCCAGTTACGCGTTGGTTCTGCTCAGGCTAGCAGTTAGCTTGTCAATCTGATCAAAATTAAACTCTTTCTTTAAACTGATATTGTTCTAAGAACTATCTACAACAGGTAAGATATTGATTGCTTATAACCATTCCACAGAACCTCACATCTCAAAGTCTGAACTATCCCTTTAATGTATTTAATTTTTGGTATTGTAAGCTCAGTTGCACTGTTAATAATATCAGAGAGTGTGAAGCTAATATATATTAATAAACAATATTTATACACATTTAACACTATTTAAATAAGGCAAAATGGGTCATGAAAAAAGCTGTCTTATTATTTATGCTCTTTATTTATATTTAAAAATCATTATTTGGATCTAAAATTATAAGTAGGACATGTAATTTTGCTCAACATGTGGTTATAATAAATTCAATATCTTGTATTTCTTGTGGTATAATTACAGTAAAATGACTGTATTATGGAAACTGTTTTGTGCAGTTGTCAGTTTTAATACAGCTATCAGCTACTTATAAATGTTACTAGATGAGCTCTTCAGAGCAATATTAATAAGCTTATTTGAATGTGATTTTATTAATCAGTAGGTGTGAATCTGTTCTGTTGAGTAGTTTTGTGTATTTACCTGCAGGTATCTGAAGGATTAATGCTGAGGGATGGAACGCGCCTAAAGTATCCCATAAATGGTATTGTTGTGTTTAAGTTTGGCTACTTTATTGATCACAAAATGACACGTTATTAGAATTTAATCTGCATGAGTTGAGGAAACAGATTTTATCCGTAGTCATATTTGAAGTGTGAAGTGTTTATAGAGCTGTAGCTGTATAATCTTTCACCACGTTAACAGTGCATATTCTTTGTTCACATTCCTCTGTTTGTTCTAAAGTTTAGTCACATATTTCTCAGCTCTGCCAACTTGTACCTTCTTATCATCCTGACCCCCATCTGTTTGTTTATCTCCTTCCCTTGGGCTGTAACATTTGGATTTATTTGTTTCCCTCCTTGAGGTTTTAACAGTTTGTGCATCAGTGCTGTGTTGCTGATGCTGTTACTCGGGCTCGCGGCTCCACTCGGGTATCTGTTCGAGCTGCTCGTGCCCTTGGCGGTGTCTGCCATAGCAGTGTCGTTCCTGCTCTCCATCTATCTCTACTTCCGCTCGTTTTGGGCCCCTTCCCATGCTTTGGCTCTCGGGGGGAACACAGGTGAGGAATTGCTATTTGTTATTAAAAAAAATATCAATATGAAAATGTGGTTATAAAACACAGCTGTAGGCGTTGCAGTATATTTGAATGTCTGCTTTGGGGGCTGCTGGTTTTAGTATTCCTGTGGGTAATTATTTACCGGTAAAGCTCTGCAGCAGCTCGCAGGCATCAGGCATCCTGTGAAGGCTGTCTTTCAAGTAAGCTGACCCTGCTGGACCAGCAACTCCGTGTTCTGCTGCATCCTCAGGCACAGAGTGACATAATAATATCTCAAATCGTGAAAGAATTACTTTTATCAGGGTTTAAGAAACATCTGCACTGTTTCCACAGCCATGTTATGTAGTCTGATTTATGCGGTAGGCCGAATGTCTGCTGTAAATATAATACAGTTGTTTGGTTTTTGTACTTTTAGAGAAATGGTTTATAGTATCACAATTTTTTAAAATTGACTGATTTCTAAGCCTATTTGAACTTACTGATATACACCTATTTTTTGCTGACTTTATATTCACCAAAGAAGCTTTTCCTTTATTAAAACATTTAAATCAGGATTTTATTGACACAAATACGGCCTTGACAGTTTTGTAGAAAGAAATCCACATTATGGTACTGCCTGTCAGTATTTATACCTTGAAACCAGGTCACATCATTGGTTACGCATCTAACTTATTCTATGCAGACACGCATATGAAGATCTCTGGAACAAGAGACTGTTTCTCAGCTCAGACAGGCCTGAGCTAGTAGCTCTCAGTTTTCAAATTTCCATCAGGATAAAATTTTGCCTCAAAACTAAACATACTTTTCTTACACACTAAATATAAGTGGATGTATGAAACACAGTTTTGGTTTTATGCAGAATCGCTCTGCCCACCAACTACTCAACATTCTGCCCATAATGTCCCATAAAGCTGCAAAAGCTCTGCTGTGAGCTGTTGTTGCATATGCTGCAAGGTCAAGGTCATAAATCAAGGTCAATTGCTTTAGCTTGTCCAGACCATGACCATTCTGATTTGCTTAAGATAACTTAATAAATCTTGATATACACATGCATCATCACTAGACTGAGTGTCACATACACTTTTCACCACCCCTGCTTCAAGGTCAAGGTTATAAATCAAGGTCAAATGTTGTACAAGGGCTTTTCTTGTCCAGACATTGCAATCAATTGCTGTATTGTTGACAGGCGTTTAATGTACCGTATGCATTGTTAATTATATTTTTAGCTGTGATATTTAACTTTTGCTGTGACTACTTTATCTTAAACTGTGTTAATGTGTTTTGTTCTCATTGTGAGGTTTAAATGACAATAAATAAAACTGAAGCTGCAGTATGTGATGCATGAAAATTTCAATGAATGAATAAATGAACAACGCAAAAATATGACTAAATAAATTGCAACAAATTAGCTGTTATCAAAAGCTAGAAGCTAGATTTATACAATGCTAGCTCTGGCATGTCAGTCAGCTGTAATTTGTGTTTAATCCTAACTAAAAACAAAATTACACGAACTGTATTTAAAAAGACGCCGTGCTGCATAACAATATTGAAAATGTACATGTAGTTTTAGTATTAGCCTGTGAAAATCTGTTTGTTGCCTTTAGCATTTAGCTCAAAGCGTCGCGGCTGCTAGCTGTTGACACCACATGTTTTTTTGTCAATTGAAACTATAAACTAAACAATTAAAAACATGTTTCTGTCGCTTCAGAATAAATGAAACGTTTTTGCTGTACAAACACTCCCTGTCAGGATGGTTCCTTTCATATGAGACAATCATATAAATACAACTGGATGAAGAGGTAAATCTAGTAAAACCTACAAGTTTAGCTTTAACATTGTGAGCAGGATAGAAAAACAAATGTGAAAGATTTGAATTATTTTCAACTTTACAAATAAATACAGCAGTCCCTCGTTTATCGCAGGTGTTTGGGACCACTCCCACCCGCGATAAGTGAAAAACCACGAAGTAGGGATACAATAGTCCAAGTTCAAGTTCAGTAAACTTTGTCATGACATATGCCAGGCTGTAATCACACTCATGACCTGTTACTTCCAATCTCCCTCCTTAAATAAACAATTTAAATTTAAATACTGTAACATTTTAAATAAACCATGCATGCAGAATGGATGGTTTATTAAAAATATTACAGTATTTCATTTAAATTGTAGAGAAGAGAAGTGCAGCAGGACATCAAAGGATGTCACACAGCTTCAGCTCTGCAGCACGGAGCAGAGATGTACTTCTTGATCAATTATACTTCAACAACTGATCATAGACTTTTAACATTTTTATATTTTGTGGTTATGATGATTTTTATGATGTGACATACTTAGAATTTTAAGTTGGAAGACAAAAGTCAATCAATGCAGCACGAGGAACGTGTGTGTGTGTGGCAGAGAGCTGATCATGACAGGCTGCAGGAGGGAGCTTTCCCCTGCACTTGTGGGCTGCACATAGGTGCAAAATCATTTAAAATATTTTATTTTAAATAAACAATCCATGGCTCATCCATCAATCAGCCAATTGTGTCATGCCCAATCTTACTTTGAAAATCTGCAATATAGAGAACCCACGAAAAACAAACCGCTAAGTAGCGAGGGACTACTGTAAAGTGTTTATAGAGTTAACAACCAATGGTTAAAAGTCATTAAAGGAAGCTGTGCTTTAAAAATTATGTTAAATGTAATAAGTAAAAAGGACCATCACAGCTATTAATGTTTGCAATAAATATGGGATTTTATCAAACCATTCGTAATAACTTAACTACTGGTTGTTGAATGCTAATGCTACTGTTAATTAAACTTACTAATCAAGCTTCAACCAATCAAACGTTATTTCTATAGCAACTTTCATCCTTCCTGTTTTTGTTACTCCATTTACCTTCAAGGGCTAAAATCAAGGTGTTTGAGTATTTGTATGCTTTATATGATAAGCTCTATATTTTCTCTTTTGTTGTAGGAAATCCTTTGTACGACTTCTTCATTGGACGGGAGCTGAACCCTCGGATTGGAAACTTTGATCTAAAATACTTCTGTGAGCTCAGACCAGGTCTGATTGGCTGGGTGAGTCATCAGTTCTGCCAATGTCCAAATGGAATAGAAGTTTATTAAGTTTCATAAACATGTATTCTCAGAATTCAGCAGGACATAGCAGCCTCATAAAAGATCAACATTTACAAAAAATATGTCATATGTAAACTTAGCAATGGTTTCAGATTTTTTTGCAAGTACTGCTTTATCCAAATTTGTTATAAAATGCAGTTTCAATGCGGTGCAATATTTTCTTTTTAAAACCTAGCATGAGCTCCAGGTGGCAGTGTCGCTCTCCTCTGATCAGTCCAAGTTTGACACAACCCAGATCAGAAGCTTTGACCCAGCACAGTGACTGGTGTATTTTAGGACATCATCATTTATATCTGCGTCATCAGAATAAATGAGGCGAAATACACCAGTGAGAATTAAATCTGATATTGTCACAAGATCCCCGTTAACTTCACAAGTTAAAACAGTTGGGAATCACATCAGCCTGGTGGAATATGCTGCGTTCTCCCCCTCCTCTGTGTTTACAGTATGAAGAGTGAACCTTTTGCATATGTGAGTGTTTTAAAGCAACATGCGTAGGAGAGCACAGAAAAACCTTCCACCAACTGGCTCCAGACAGTGTGTGGGATTTTTTCCCACTTCCTGTTAAACGTTAAAACTACGTACTTTTAATATTCAGCATTGAACAAATGCTGCTGATAAAGTCCCAGTGTGAAGCAACTGAAAACTGAATTATATGCTAACGATGATAAATATTGTCCACGCAGTCAGTGATGTTTAGTGACTGTTAGTGGAGCTGAACTGTGCGATCATCAGTGTGTGTGTCAGGATGAGCAGGTCGTTATTATTCACGTCCCCTCAGGTGGTCATAAACCTCGGGATGCTGATGCAGGAGGTGGAGCTTCGAGGATCCCCCTCCCTCGCTATGATCCTGGTCAACAGTTTCCAGGTGCTTTATGTAGCCGATGCTCTGTGGAATGAGGTGAGCGGGGCGTTTCACTTTTCTAATGAGACTGTTTCAGCCTTCCTCTGATTCTTTCGAATACTCCTGTTTTCCTTCATCGTGTTCACCAGGAGGCTGTCCTGACCACTATGGATATTGTCCATGATGGTTTTGGCTTCATGTTGGTCTTCGGTGACTTGGCCTGGGTCCCCTTCACGTACAGCCTGCAGACATCCTTCCTGGTGAAGCACCCACAGAGCCTGAGTTTGTTCAAGGCTGCACTTATAGTAACTCTGAATGGTGAATATATATATTTACTAGAGAGGACAATGTTGTTTTAGGATACAGAATTATAATAAACATGTTTGTGTTTGCCTTCAAGGTGTGGGATATTACGTTTTCAGAAAGTCCAACTCACAGAAGAACCAGTTCAGACGAGATCCAACTCATCCGAGTGTTGCAGGTCTTTCATTTTTCTGATTCTGTTTTTTTTTTCCAGTGATTTCCCACAAACTTCATAAATTCATTAAACAAAACGATCACGTTTTCAAGAATCTCAGCCCATGAGTGTCCCTTCGTCAGAATAAGAGGCAGACGGGGTTGATCGGTACACGTGTTGCTCAAAAGCATCTGAATTCTCCACGGCTCGTTTCAGGCCTGGAGACTATTGCCACAGCGACGGGGAAGCGGCTGCTCGTGTCAGGCTGGTGGGGTCTCGTTCGTCATCCCAATTACCTCGGTGACCTCCTTATGGCGCTGGCGTGGTCCCTGCCATGTGGTAAGCCAGCTTAAAAGTTCTCAGCTTGGCTCTTGTTGCAACCAGGTCTCGCTCATGCAAGACAGTCACAGATGTCCTTCTTTATGATGTGGATGACGTCATGAAAGATCAATGCCAGATTGAGGCATAAACTACATCTAGTAAGATTTATTTTTAGATCTCGTTCACTCTGATCTCCTTCTGAAACCTGACTCATCCTCAGGATTATCAAACTCCTACTGTCCCTGCTGCACTTTGCTCCATGGCAAAAACGACACAAACGTTTTAAACAATAATTAGAACACAAAATGGAATAAAAAGCGAACTCAGTAATTCTTTTATACAATGATGAAATATATAAATGCAAAACTTTTGTTTTTGCTCCCATTTTTCTTAAGCTGAACTCAAAGATCTGACTTTTTCTATGTAAACAAAAGCCCCTTTTTCTCAAATGTCAGCATGCCAATTGCTGCTCCATCAAAACTTGCAACATCTGTGTCATTGTCCTGTTTGATAAAACTGCACATTTTAGAATGGCCTTGTATTGTGGGCAGCCTAAGGCATCTGTGCAATAATCATGATGTCTAATCAGCATCTTGACATGCCACACCTGTGAGGTGGATGGATTATCTCAGCAAAGGAGAAGTGCTCACTAACACAGATTTACACAAACTCATGAACAATATTTGAGTAAAAGGCCTTTTGTGTACTTAGAAAAAGTCTTAGCTCTTTGCGTTCAGCTCATGAAAAATAGGAGCAAAAATAAAAGTTGCATTTATATTTTGGTTCACTAAATGTACATATATATTTTTTTCTTTGTGAATGTTGGGGTTTGCAAAAGCATCTGACCCAAATGTGGACTCAACACAAGGAGTTCTGAAAATTAACGTTTTATTAAAGAGAAAAATCAAAATGTTGTGGCAGAAAAAAAACATAACATACAAAAAACTCAGGTAAAATCCAAGAACACAAGAAGAACCAGATGGCACAGAACATGCATATCGCTGAACTGGTGAGTGGAGAAACAAAGACTGAAGCTGAAGTGATTGGGAAAGTGGAGGCACCTGAGTAGATAAGTGAGTAAGAACAGGTGAGTGTGGCAGGCTGATTGGAAAATTTTACAGTTAGAATTGGAGAAAAACATTAACTGTTAATGATCCTGTTATTAACAGGTGATTGGCCTGTAATTATTTTAGAAACCAGTATCTACAACAAGCTGAGCAAAGATGGCGAGATGCTCATCCCTGACAGATAATTTACTGTTGCTGCAAGAAGCATCTAAACTTAGGTTGTTTTTTGTACAATGGTAGTAAAGTTATGTGGATGGAGGTTCATGCATTTTTAAATTATACGATGCACTTTAGCTATAGTTATGGTTTCTCCAGTAGAATATGTGTGAAGAAATGTGAAATAAAAAACGTGCTGCATTTTCTTTCAAGTGTTTTAAAGAGGAGTGGCATGCTAATTATTTTTTTAGTTATTAACCTTTATTTAACCAGGCAAATCCCATTGCAGTCACAGATCTCTTTTACAAGGGAGGCCTGGGCCTGAAGGCTGCCTAACATGCATGTTTTTGGTCATGTAAATAAGTGAAGTCTTTATGGTCACAGCTTGCTGTAAATGTACTGCGGGCTAAAACTGATGCATATAAAAATATTAAGCTGATGTGGAAAAACATGAAATATCTTGGGTTTATATTCTGTAATAACATAAAAGCTAAAACCGAGTTCTCTCTGGGAGGTTCGTACAGCATCACTACCTTGCTGAAACAACAAATGCAACACAGCGATGTTCACAATGACCATCTTTGTTGTGTTGTCACATTTCAGTAATCAGTGCAGATCATAGAGTTAAATAAGATGATTAGACGGCGCAGTGGAGGGACGGGAGTCATAACCAGAGAGGGCAAGCATCTGGACTTAACATTGTTGTAGGTATTGGCAAAATAGCCAACAATAAGGGCTGATAATTTACAAATTATTAAAGATAATGTTAATATAATATTATAATGTACAGTATAGAAGCTACTAAATGTATGTAAAAATGCCGCAAAGCTGTATGTGCTACGTTTGTACCAACCGAAGAGAAAAATTAAAGCATTTTATTTTACAAGTAAGCTGATTTATTTTATTTACGTCAATGTGAATGTGATGTAGCTATAATTGAAGCTAACAATGTACTTGTTTAAAATTAATATTAGCCTATATAACTGATTTAATCACTGCTAATTATTGAATTGGCTAATACATTTTAGCTTCTGTGGCAGCTATTGTTATACAGAGTGTAGCACTGTGCTGAATCCTGCTACAATTTAGCGCAAATTATTAAATAGTACAATCTGGTATTGCCTCCGATTTGCATAATATATACACAGAGTAAAATAATAATATATTTGACTAGTTTTAGGTTTCCATTACACAAAACTGACCTATTGAGAAGATGGTTAGTCAATATCAGTAGAGACAAGTTTTCCTCCTTCAAAAGTATCACAGAGTATACTGTGAATGTTTTCTAACTGTCGACTACAGAACAGATAAATTATAATAAATATACGTTATTCCAATACTTTTATGCAATACCCTTTATATGTTATTAGAGTTGTGTTATTTGTTGACTTCAGATCTAGTGTAGTGAACACTGATTCACTGATGGAGCTGAGTCATTGGCCACCTGGATAAAGGTACTTGTTTATTTAGCTTCCTGTAATCTATGGTAAGTCTCCACTTACCATTTGGTTTTAAAACTGGCCATAGAGCCGCAGAGTAGGTGCTATTACATTGTCTGATTATACCTTTGACCAAAAGGTCATCAATGATCTCCTGGACAGGCTGGTATGCTGCCAGAGGGATCTTGTATTGTCTGACAAATGTTGGCGGTGCGTTGGGTGGGGTTGGGATTCTCACTGCGTGGAGTGAGGTCAACCCACAATCCGTTGAATCAGTTGCAAATGACTTTTCATATTTTAAAAGAACTTGGCGAAGTTTGTCTCTTTCTTCATCAGATGTCAGAGCGTCAGCTTGTGCGACCACCTGATCAATCTGTGATGAGACTGATAAGGGTTCTTGCTCCTTGGGGAGCTCCCACGAATCCCTTTCTGAGTCGTCGGGCCTGTCTATGGGTAAGACACCATAGGTTTGAGGTCCTTGGTCGACATCATCGGTTGAGAAAAGAGCTATGGCCTGTGTTGGTTTCGTGAACCATACTGGCCCAGCGTCTTGACCCGGTACCAGGTTGTCTGGGAGTCCTCCCAGAAATGGAATGCCTAGTTCAAAATCATGAAAGTCAGTTGAAATCAACCATCCCAGCATAGTGTTTTTTGGGATCAGCACCTCATCCATGCCTGTGTTACACACAGCAATAGATGTGGTCCTGGAGTCAAGACTCACCTGGTTCGTGGCTTCCACGGACAGTCCCAAGTTGAAAAATGCAGGAGAGGGCTGAAAATATGCCTGTTTACGGCTAATAGCTTGTCCAGCTATGATGTGGATTCGCACCATTAGGTTAATCACCTGAGGTGGTACTGTGGTGGTCTGGTTGGTAGCAACTTGGCAGGCCTCTGGAATGGTCTGCCCAGCCTTAAGGCTCGCTGTATCTAGCACAGGAGGATCCTTTGTGGCTGGTTTTAGGGACCACAGCACCTTGTTGATGGTGTCCACGTGGACACCTAACCTTACCAAAATGTCAGAGCCTATGTAGGATGCATGTGGTAAGTTTTGGATAACGAGAAACGGGTGAACCAGTTCTCGTTGATTCCAGTTCAGTTTTAGGTTAATGACCCCTTCTGCGGTCATTACCTGTGAACTATTGGGAACTAATGGAAAGCGGAAAGCTTTTTTAATTAGTTCTAGACCAACGTGTTTGTGAACCAAGGTTTCATAGAAAGCTCTGTTAATTGCTGATTTATCTGTCCACAGAGACAGAACAGCATCGTTGGTGTGGGACCCTTGGATCTCTACACCCTTAACTACCAGTGGCAGGTAGTGTTTGGTGGACTCTGACTGTTCCAGCTCACAGAGGAGGCTGTCTCGTTGGGTCAGAGTCTGGACCACTGGGTGGGTCTCATTGGTTTCACATGATGTCAGAGGAGTACTCACCGGGCTCGTGTCCTCGGCTGAGGAGTCCTTTGCGCCTTCCGCGGTACCTGCTGTCGGGCAGTCTGTCTCACACTCCGGAGGCGTATCGATTGGCAGTGGCTTGCTCACTGTTGTCCACATTGTTTGATCACCATAATCTATAATCGCGTCGAAGCGATTTATAAAATCCTGGCCAACCAAAAATGGGAATGAGTCAACACGAGACACGTGTACTGGGTGGTACAGCGTCATATTGCCAATCTGCATGTGAACCATTGCTATAGCTGTCAGGGTTGTCTTCTTCTCTGAGAGACCCTGCATTTCTATAGCACATTCAGAGAGAGGTATTATCCTGTTAACACTGGCAGCGGCCGTCCTCAGCTCCTCGAACAGTTTAGCTGACATAATTGTTATGTCTGCCCCACCGTCCAAGAGTGCTTCGTGTGTGAGGACACCTTCGAGTGTTACTGACAGGTACGCCTTTTTGGCGACCCCCCTTCTGATAAAGTTACACAGAAACCTTTTGGGTTTTTTCTGACGCTTCTTCACGCGGTCAGCCTTATCTGTGTAATCTTGGTTTGTCTGAACCGTCAGCACAGCAGAAGCTGTTTCTGAGTGTTCAGCTTGCGATGACTCGTCATCGTTTGTGTGTGTGTTTACCCCCCCTTCTTCTGATGAGGGGTTGTTTGAGGCAACAACAGCAACGTCTTGGTGTGTTCCACCGACATCCGTAATGTTGTCATTCGCGCCCTCAGATGTAATAGGGATTACATTACTGCATAGTGCTCCTGGTTGGGTTCCCGTGTCAGTGTGTTTCAAAGTTTCTAACAACCTGCGTATTTTCTCTGTCTCTTCCGAGCTCAGAGGTGTAGGGCCTTGTTTCTGGAACTTTTGTGATTTTTTCGCCTCGGTTCTTTTCGGCCGAGGTGGGGGACGGTCAGGTACGTC